ATCGATAACATCATTAACTCATCAAAACAACAACAAAACTTATTTTAATGAAATGATCGCTAATTATATTGAATATAAATTAAATTCATTAAAAATTATAAACGCTTTTTTTGTCTAACGTTTTGTCGTTTACATAAGTTTTACACATATTTATACTTGTATAATAGCTTAAAGAGATTTTATAATGATTCCTGATGAAAACAAAAACAATTTAACTGACACAACAATAAGAAAAATATTAAATGTTTGAAAAAATTAGTTTAATGTTTGAAGTTTAAAATTAGAAAAAATAATATATAAATTTCTTATTTTGTTTTTAACACACATATCATAATTACTATCCACGGCTTACTCACTATATAATGCACACATTTACAGTGCATTTATAGTATAGATAACGGAATAATGTTTCTTAAATGAATCCACTGTTATAATAGTTAAGTGATGTATAAATTGTGACCACTTTTCTTATCAATCAAAGGGTCGGCCATAGAGATTGTATTCGTCCCTACGTTTGATTTGTCTCGGATTACGGCACGAAATCTCTTAGTTAAGCAAAAACCCACAAAATGTATTATGTTTGTAATTACAAAAACGTTTTGCTCAATGTACTTTTTGTTTTTTGGGAAAATTTTATTAATAGCACTAAACTATTAAATCAAGAAAAATACGAATTTGCGAAATAGTTATGCATTCATATAATGAATATAATTATAGTTTGCAATCAAATATTTTTAAATATTTTTCGCAACGCTTTTCACTCATGTATAAATACATATAAATTTATTTCATTACAGTGTTATCATTATTCTGTTTCCATTTATTCATTCATTCATTTCATTCTGAAATGTGTTTGAAATGCAAAAAACGAGTTCATCTCTCTGGGAAAAGTAGCTTCAAAAGTAAACTTTTCATTTAAATATAGATTTTTCTCGTCATTTAATTCTTTTGTATATAATATTGGCTTAAATTATAAGCAGTATTTTTGTAGTTGTGAATTAGGGTAACAATATCTAAAAAGTAAAGGTTTAATATCATTATAAAGTTAGTTTATGATAACTCAGAACAGTAGTCCCTTATATATTATCCTACTCACGGAATTCACTTGTACACCTGTAAGCAGGGTATAAGGTATAGGGGTATAGACGGTACAGACATAGAGACCCCTTAGATATGGGTCAGAAGCCCGAGAAAGTTATGATACAATGATCTGAAAATAGATTGTATTAAATAATGTGTTGTTTTTACGTCCGATTTAAAGCTATATTCAAGTTTCAGGTGATGTTTGTTGACAATTAAATTTTTCTAATATATTTTTCATATTTACGAAGTTTTTAATTCAAAAAGTTTGACGTATAAAGTTTGATATGATAAAAAAATGCTAAAAATATAATTATAATCTTTAAACATAATTCAATATTTGACTTGTTATTTACGATTTGATATGTGTACACTTTATTAGCATCGAAATTAAATGTAAATATAAAAATAAACAAAAATAACTATAATTTGTACTAGTATTTCACATCATACCTTGCACATACTGTTCCCGTGGATTTAAATATTATAATTGAATTTCAATGTAAAACTGAAAACTTCTCGGATTTTGGTGTGAGTTTGAGTTTAATGAATATTAATTTATTAAATGGATTTTTTATTGTATCACGTATTCATAAAATGTAAAACTTATTTTCTGTGTTAAACATCAAACCTTATAATCATTGACATTGATTTTTATGTCAATTATATTTTTCAGACAAAAAACTCATTTTATTAGCGAAAATCTAATATAAAAAATCAGTTTCCAATAAATGTAAAATAAATTCATTGTATTCGCAACAAAGACTTTTTTATATCAATCCGAGAAATGACTTAATAAATAACAATTCTTTTGATAAATAATAATTATTAAATAATATATGACACGACATTTAACTTAAAGTATAAAAAATATAAATTAAATAACATAAATTAAAAATAAATTAATATAAATCTCCTTTTTAGTATTTTCTCAATTAGAGAGGTCTGTGAACTATTTAGTGGGGGAGGGCTACAGTGTTTTATATGTAAAAATTATGCTAAAAATCATAGGGGGTATTAGGAAATATTGATTTTTTTAAAACTCCTGCTTTTAAACTTCATTTAATAATAGGTTCCGAAGGGGTACAACCACTTTCGTGACTATACTCTGGGAGAAACAAAACATTTCACATTTACCATTACAGAGACGTTAAGATTAAATTTCATTTCTAGTTCACATGATTTGTTTTTTTAAAAAAATAGGGACTTATTATCAATACTTTACATTAAAGGTTTGTAAAACACAAACTGAATGATCAATGCAACGTCCAACTCGATCATCATTAGGTTTCACATATCACTTACATCACACATATTATTTATTGTTAAGAAAACTATTTATTATTAATAATTTATTATATACTGTGCTGTAAATTGAATTTCATATTTTTTATATTTAATTTATTGTATTTAATTTTTATTTAATTATATTTAGAGGAAAAATATATTTTCTCAATTAGAGAGGTCTGTGAACTATTTAGTGGGGGAGGGCTACAGTGTTTTATGTGTAAAAATTATGCTAAAAATCGTAGGGGGTATTAGGAAATATTGATTTTTTTAAAACTCCTGCTTTTAAACTTCATTTAATAATAGGTTCCGAAGGGGTACAACCATTTTCGTGACTATACTCTGGGAGAAACAAAACATTTCGCATTTACCATTACAGAGACGTTAAGATTAAATTTCATTTTTAGTTCACATGATTTGCTTTTAAAAAAATAGGGACTTATTATCAATACTTTACATTAAAGGTTTGTAAAACACAAACTGAATGATCAATGCAACGTCCAACTCGATCATCATTAGGTTTCACATATCACTTACATCACACATATATTATAAACCTGGTCATTGTATATTTCGATGCCGACCGGAGTTTGCACTTAAATCGTGTCATAATTATAATTCAAATTATAGTGCGATCGACAGAAATAATTGCGAAATAATCATAAATAATAACTATTTCTAATTGGGGAAACACTTTATATGCTGTGGTAATGATTTGTGACCCCATACGTAGATTTATATGTAATATATATATATATATATTTTTATAAATCTGAGATAACCGGGCTTTTTTGGCTCCGGTGTGTTCGCACATTCACTCCACTTTTCCCCTCTTTCTTACAGTTATATCTAATTATAGATAAAATTGTTTTCAAATGCAAAATACGAGTTAAAACTGTAGTCTCGATAGTGTGTCGGCACAGCCATTGGCGCACAAGTATGTCCTCTCAGACACTCATGGAAAGCAATATCTAAAACAATAACCAGCACCAAGGTGCCTCTTATCTGATTTCTATTTAATAGGCATTAACTATGAAATACACCATATAAATAAAAATTACTCTAAATACTGAAAATTGTCAAATATTATGGCATAGATAAGATGTAGATATTACACTTGAATGTGTTGTATTAGGTGTCAAATATGACCTGGTTGCTCTAGTAATATGCAAACTCGGTCTCGAGGGATCAGATGACAACAAATGGTATTTAATCAATAATAACCTCAAGTGCTTGAATGCCTGCCCATCAATGCCTTACATAAAGTGTTATATAATAGGATTGAAAGAAACAAACAAAATATGATTCAAATAGTTGTCATGAGTTGATGGGACGGGTGTTGTGTTGGAGTGTTGGGCCCATTCACTCGCCACTCACACTACCATACGCTTTGAAGTTTATCTGTATATTTAGGCAATAAAAAGCGATATTAAGAATATATGTACAGAATTGAGGTAACAATACCAACAACAACACCACTGCCTACCTGTGCGGACGGCCTATCACTTTTCGCCTCTATATATACAGTATATATATTAATATTTTTATTTACTGGATATATATTGTACAGCAATAGTGTTCTAACAGTTATATAATCATAGATTTGGTTGTGAGAGCAAAAAACTTATTTTTTATAACTTTTTTATAACAAATTAAAACTTATAATTAATAACTGTATAAAACTTTTAATAGGATAATTAAAAGAAAATTTCTTTCTACTTTTATTCTTTATATTAAATATTATAACAAGTTTTTGTGCGAAATATATTTAGTATTCATTTTAGCGATAAATTTATTTTGTAATTTTTTGAATTGTTTTAAAATAGTAGTGTTTAATCTAATTTTGTGATATTTATCTGTTGTTATTTTTGTGAAATAAAAAGTGCATTTGAAAAGTGATACTCGTTTTAATGAATTGGTCAAACATATATTAAGTGCATCTATGGCTCCGTTAATGATTGAACGCGAAGTGAAATATATAAATTACAAATTACAATTAAACGCCAATAATGTTCATAATATTGATCACAATTTTATGAGAATTGTTTGGAAAAACGTTATACTCATCGGTGCTATACATGTCGGCGCTCTATACGGTGCTTACCTGATGATTGTGTCGGCTAAATACCAGACAGTGGTTGCCTGGTATTGGTTTTGTCTCATTTCAGGTAAATTATTACTGTTTTATATTTTTTTGTGTTTATTTAAATTAAAAATAAGATAATTTATAAAACTTGACTTTTATATGAATTTTAATATATTTTAAATAAGTTTTTTAAATATTTAAAATAATTCTGTTTAGTTTTATTTATTTAATACAGTAATAACTATTCAAATAACTTTATAATTTGTAATAAATATAAATTAAGTTTTAAAACATTTAATGTCAGATTCAAATATATCAGATTCTGTTTTGAAAATGAATTCAAAGTCAAATCAATGTAAAACTACTATTTAATGTCAATTTTGATGTGAAAAAACAAAAATCTTACAAAACTATTGATGATTAATGATATTCAATTAACTGTAAAGTTGTATTTGACTGATTGCATTGATTTACTATAATTGTAAATACATCTCAAACTTCCAAATAATCCTTAAATTTATTGATTGAAAAATTTTTATTATCTCAAATGAAAGGAATGGGTGTAACAGCCGGTGCCCACCGACTATGGGCACACCGGTCATACAAAGCCACTCTCCCATTGCGAGCACTTCTATGCTTCTTGAATACAATGGCCGTTCAAAACGATCTGTACGACTGGTGTCGCGACCATAGAGTTCATCACAAGTTCTCGGAGACGGACGCCGACCCCCACAACGCCAATCGGGGCTTCTTTTTCTCGCACATGGGTTGGCTACTGTGCAAAAAGCACCCGGATGTCGTCACCAAAGGGCAGACTGTCGACCTAAACGACTTACTGGCCGACCCGGTCATACGTTTTCAGCGCAAACACTACAGAATCCTAGTAGTGATTATCGCTATCATAATACCAGCGCTCATACCATACCTGTGTTGGTCTGAAACGATTTTCAACTCATTTTTCATTTGTGTGTTATTTCGTTACTGTTATATACTTAACAGGTATTTATGAAATACAGTAACAATTTCTTTCTCATTTCTTTATATTATATTTTTTGCGCACAAAATATAGTCTCAATTGTTATCTGACTTTTTTGTGAGTTAAACTGATTGGTGAGTCCTAAATATAGCACAATATAAGTATTAAAGTCACAATAAAATTAAAATAAAAGAATGGATGAGAAATATAATACTCTATTTGAGTACAAAATACAGTTATTCTGCGCTACTATTCATCATAAATATAGTAACATATCCTTAGATAACAGGAATATAATACACTTTTTATATTGATTTTGATTAACTATTTTTTCAATACCAGTGCACAAAACAATTATATTTATACCATATTTTCTCATAAAAACTCCTTTAACTCATCCACTAATCTATTTTTAATGATGATTGTCTGACTTATATGTAGCACATGGCTGGTCAACAGTGCGGCTCATATGTGGGGTCAAAAACCATATGATCTCACCATAAATCCAAGGTTTGAATATATGCTACATTTTATATCATTTAAAATTAATGAAATACTTTAATAAAAAGCATTCAAATAACCATTTGTTTGATTTATAGAGAGAATAGTTTTGTCGCATTTCAATCATACGGCGAGGGGTATCATAACTATCACCACACCTTTCCCTGGTATGGCATAAAAAACTCTTTATTTAATAAATTCAATTATCTAATACAGAAATAAAATTTTATTTTAAAATTATACAGAATTATATGACATTTTTGAGTTTATTAATAGCACCAAATCTGATTACGACAACATTCAAACTAAACATCCCCTTAAGTTATTAACAATAATTAGCTTAATAATGCTATTATGAAATCTTGTTTATTTTTCAAATTTTCTATTTCAAATCAATTATCTATCATTTCATAGGGATTATTCAGCCAGTGAATTGGACTGGAAGTACAACTGGAACTTCTCGACACTATTCATCGACTTTTTCGCCCGAATCGGTTGGGCCTACGATCGGAAGCGGGTGTCGAGCGATATGATCGCCGCTCGGGCTAAACGTACGGGAAATAAGCCGCTCATGAAAAATGTCGAAAACATTACTACTATTCGTCTATTCATTCATCGATGCATTTCATTGACTATCGCTTTGAGTCACTTATGGATCCCTTTTGTTATTAGATTTGTAATCAATTTATGAAATATTATAGCCATTTGTTATATTCCTACGACAGAATTTGCAATTAAATAATATTATTAGTAAGCAATATATCACATATGACGTGACTTTTAGTTAATGTTTTAAATTGATGTTTTGTATAAATTAAACAAATGTTAACCTAATGTTAATAAACAAATATTAAGAGTATTTTGTTTAAAATGCTCATTTTTATTGCCTAATATTTAGGTAGAAATTCTGTTATTAGGTTTTTGTGTTAAACATGAGTTTACAAATTTATTGCCACTTTTCTCGTATTGTATTATATTTTTAGTGTCTTAACAGCTAATCAATAATCAGTAAAAGTGTGTATTATTTAAGACACAATTAAAACGTTGACAACAAAAGACTCAATTCATCCTCATATTGAATACAGCCGTCAATATGAGTCTTAAAACTAAATCAAACCCTTTTAGCTTAAGATTTCTATTCATTTATTCAAACTCGCAATACTATTAAGCATTTTTATAGCACTACTTTTCTTAAAAAACAAAATATACTTTTATTACATTTTAAGTTCAAAGCAATAAAGTTAAATTTCATGTAGTTTTGCAAACATAACGCAAGAATTTCTCATTTCATATATAAATCAAATAAATAATAACAACATTAATACAATACATAAGAGGATTAACAAAGAAATAAATAAATAGCACTAAAGAATAATAGATTAATAGATTAATAGATTTATAAAAATTACATATTAGTCTAGTGAATTAACTTTTCATTTGTGGACAAACCATTTTCTAAAATAAAACTAAACCACCACAACTAATCAATCTAATTATTAAGTAAATTAAAAATAGATATGTAATTACATTTTCATATACAAATAACAATAATTCTGGTTAAAGAATTAATTTTAAAAGTTTTTAATTTAAAACATCTATTTATGACTTATTGAATATTATACTAATAGTATTTTATGGCTCTATTCAATCAATTTGTTGCCTAAATTTTCATCCTATTGTCAACAACAGTGTACCTCCCGGCCCTCATTCTCTATGCACTATAAAAACATAATTTCATAATTGTGTCTCAATTGGTACATAACATTGCATTTTATTGTTTATTTAAAGTTTTGTGCTTAAGTCTTTCACGTGATT